ATTTAGTTATTTATTATTATTATTATTTATTTTATTTTTTTTCACAGATGTCTCTTATGCTCACTAGAGCTGCATTTATTGGATCAAAAATATAGTAAAAACCGTAATATAGTGAAATATTGTTTGTTTCTATTTCAATATATTTTAAAATGTAATTATTCCCTGTGATGGCAAAGCCGAATTTTCAGCAACTTCAATGTCACATGATCCTTCAAAAATCATTCTGACATGCTGATTTACTGCTCATGTGACATTTCTTATCAGTGTTGAAAACACTTAATATTTTTTGTGGAAACCATAAAACATTTTTTACAGGATTCTTTGAATACGATGTTCAAAAGAACAGAATGTTTTGTTACGCCTTTACCGTCTCTTTTGATCAATTTAATGCAATCTTGCAAAATATTTTTTCTTTCCTCCTACTACTGAGCTGGAAAATGAACCCAAAATGGTATTTAAAATACAAAATAGTCAATTAGATAAATGAAATAACTGCAAGAAGCCAAACCATGTGACAGGCAATGAAAACATGAGCTAAATTTACATTACTTCAGGTTAAATCAGGGGTACCGTTAAGTAAGGTATCAAATGTTTCATGGAAACTTGTTTTTTAGATTTTTTTCATTGTGTTCGTGTTTTCAGGAGTTCAACCAGACACCTGATTCGATCAAGATCAGCGCAGTTTTCTCTGTAGGAGGAAATACCACATCCATTGGTACGAGCCCTGAAAATATATTATGATGTTCTTTTACCATTTACTATATGAGTGAATAGATGTGATGATAAATGGTTCAATTTAATTTAAGTTTCTTGTTATATTTCTTCCCAATTTTTCTTCATGTGACTGCAGTTCCAGCAGCTGCTCCAGCAAAGGTGGCACCAGTCCCTACACTATCCCTTCATTCTCTGGCCCCTGCCAATCCAATTGGTGTGGTCTGCACAGGATGTAACAAAGTCCTCTTAAAGGGACAGACGGCTTTCCAGCGCAAAGGCTGTCCTAAACTCTACTGTTCACCTCAGTGTCTCTGCACCACCTCTAATGTGGTGGTCAAGATACCTCAGAAGAAACAATGTCACCACTGCCACAAGTATGCCTAAAAGTCTTGCTTTTATTTTTTTCTAAAATGTAACTTTTAAAATGATCATACTAGGTGCATTACATTGTATTGTATTTAAATAACGTTTGTAAATATGAACTTAACTTACCACCCTAAGACCTAACCATATTATAATAATGTACTCCTTTATTTAAAAAATGCAAAGAATAATATATAATACAAATTTAAATACAGCAATGGTGTTTAACATACCCTTTAAGGATGCAAATGCCTCTTCCCCGGCAGAGACATTCTTGACCTGAAGGATGTGATCAATGCCCCGGTGGACATGTCAGGGACTGTGAAGGAGTTCTGCAGTCAGAAATGCCTCAGTGCTTTAAGCTTCAAGTGCAGTGTTTGTCTTAAGACAGGAATGGTAAGTGGCCATCTCTATCTGTGCAGGTGTGTCCTTCACTGGATCGCCGCTACTGAGAATGCGGCCCGTAAAATAAATCATGTTTTGCCCCTAAAGGCCTGTTCACAACAAGACAAATGTAAACATTTTAATTTGGATAAATTTTTCATAAAACAGGTTTACCAAATAAGCCAGGTTTATTTCAGTTAGTCTGACTTATTGTCAGTTGATTTGGTTCAAAATAAGTCAGACTAACTGAAATAAGCCTGGCTTGTTTGATAAACTTGTTTTATGAAACAGCGCCCAGGTGTTACTTTGTTCAAAGTGATACAAATATTTGCATGCCCTTGTAATGCTTTCATGTACTTGTGCATATGCATACCACGACAATGGCAGCACTTTCACTGCTCATAGTGCTTTTATCTACTTATACATACAGTATCTCACAGAAGTGATTACCCCCCTCACATTTTTGTAAATGTTTTATTATATCTTTTCATGTGACAACACTGAAGAAATGACACTTTGCTACAATGTAAAGTAGTGAGTGTACAGGAGCGCAAGGTCTCTAACATTCACCAGCTCCGTGATGTCGTAATGGAGGAGTGGAAGAGGACTCCAGTGCCAACCTGTGAAGCTCTGGTGAACTCCATGCCCAAGAGGATTAAGGCAGTGCTGGAAAATAATGGTGGGAGCACAAAATATTGATACTTTGGGCCCAATTTGGACATTTTCACATAGGGGTGTACTCACTTTTGTGGCCAGTGGTTTAGACATTCATGGCTGTGTGTTGAGTTATTTTGAGGGGACAGCAAATTTACACTGTTACACAAGCTGTACACTCACTACTTTACATTGTAGCAAAGTGTCATTTCTTCAGTGTTGTCACATGAAAAGATATAATAAAATATTTACAAAAATGTGAGGGGTGTACTCACTTCTGTGAGATACTGTATATATATGGTTTAGACATTCATGGCTGTGTGTTGAGTTATTTTGAGGGGACAGCAAATTTACACTGTTACACAAGCTGTACACTCACTACTTTACATTGTAGCAAAGTGTCATTTCTTCAGTGTTGTCACATGAAAAGATATAATAAAATATTTACAAAAATGTGAGGGGTGAACTCACTTCTGTGAGATACTGTATGTATACTGTGTCTCATTCACTCCTCTTAGGGAACCAAGGTTACATTAGGTAACCCGGAGACATTTGACTTCCTTCCTTCTGTCACAAGTGGATGCACTGAATATTAGTGCCAAACATTTTGGTGTGAACAAGCCTTAAATTTAGGTGATCTGGGTACTGTGAAATAATGTCAAGATGACACATCTTCCTTTTGCATTATCTTTTCTGGATGTACTCAAAAACAAACCTATAACTCGAAGTATTTTGAGTTCCCATAATAAATTGCACAAAAATAGTTAGATTAGTTACTTGATCCAGTCAAGATTTTTTTTTTTCGCTCATTGAATCTGTTAGAGCGGTTACACATCAGGTAACATCTGACTCACTCATTGAATCGCAGGTCTTAAATTTCAGTTACGTTTGACTTTAAATGAAGCAAGCACTGTTTAGTGTATTTAACCCCCTTGAGGCTTCAGCGTGATAACTACCTTTTTACATTTAGTCATTTGGCAGACGCTTTTATGCAAAGCGGCTTACAAATGAGGACAATAGAAGCAATCAAAACCAACAAAAGAGCAATAATATGTTAGTTGTGACAAGTCTATTTTTTTTATTGACTTAAGGTACTCTTGGTATTTATGGTTATGCAGATATAATGAAGACATCATTCAAAACTGTAATGGGTCTGCTTTCATTTGGCCACTCAAAATAACAATTACTTTTGTGTAATGCAGAAAACAGTCAATGTGTGCTTCCGCCATCTAATATATGTATGTGTATATACAGGTGCATCTAAAAAAATTTGAATATCATGGAAAAAGTTCATTTTCTGTTGTAACTTATTTCAAATAGTGAAACTTTCATATATTCTAGATTCATAACATGTAAAGTAAAACATTTCAAAAGTTTTTTTTGTTTTAATTTTGATGATTGGAGCTGCTCTAATCAAAATTTTAAAAAAAAAACTTTTGAAATGTTTTACTTGTATTGAATCTAGAATATATGAAAGTTTCACTTTTTGAAATAAGTAAAAAAAAAAAAACTTTCACTGTATTCTAATTTTTTTAGATGCACCTATATATATATGTATATGTGTGTGTGTGTTATATATCAATAACTTGTGCATCATGAGGAATATATTTTGTTGTTACTTATCCAAACCAAATAGCTCTGCTTTGTAGTGGCTCGGGAATGATCTAAAAAAAATCTCAATTACTATTCTTTTGATATTTTTTGAAAGCATAACTAAACTAAATGCAAGCATTTTTGATAGAAGTTTTAATAATAATTAACTAAAACGTGGCAAGTATGTATGAATGCAAATATATAAGTTTGCATTCATATTAAAATGAGCTTGGTGGTGGTGCTCCATTGTTTCTGTGGGGGAAAAAACTAATACCACTAATAAAAAGCACGCAAATGTAAAATATTTTCATCTGTTTTTACTTGCAAAAAAACGACTTTTGCTCGCATCTTTCCTCAGGTAGGTTGTGTTGTAGCCACTGATCTATAATAGAGAATATTTATTGATCAGTGGTTGTAGCTCATTGTCTGTCGCGTTGAGGTCTGGCTCATGAATATTAATCACATTGTCTGCGTTCGCCAGAGCTGATTGGCGGAGCCGGAGAGGTGAGCGCTAGCCAATGGGATTACCTCTTGCTTATCCTCCATCTGCCAAATGATGTGAACGGCCTAAATAATAAACGATCTAAGTAATTTTGATAGGGAAAAAAGTAAGAGTACCATTCTAGCGCGTCAGTGCTACGTGGTTTATAAGACTCACTTTCTCTTCCTCTCTGCGTGTGTGTGAGGAGAGAGCTGCCGCTGTCAGTCAAGCGACGGTGAGGAAGGCGTCTACACAATAGATTACGCTGCGAATCCATAGATGTCAATAAGAACAGCGCGATGTACAGACAGAACGATAACGAAACTCTTCCAATTCGCTGTATTACCGCATTATTTATGCATGCGAATGATTTACTCGAACGATTAATGTTTGGTTAGGTACCGTTTTGGTGCCTCATCCCTAACTTACCCGCAGAGCGCGCTATTCATACGGTTGCATACAAGCATGGTTAAATCTCCCCTATCAATGTGATAAAATAGCTTCTAGCTTCATCCGATTCATTCACTTTTCATCGCTTTTGGAAGATGGCACACTGCACGTGTGAGGAAACTCTTGAGACGGTCCTGGACAGCGAGGAAGAATTCACCTTTTCCTCAGAAGAGGAGCAGGATGAAGAATGGTCGCATTTTGAAGAGCGCCTTGATCCAGCAGAGGACGCCCTTTCTGATGAGTAAGTCATTCATACTTCGTTATCATGTTGTTTTAATGTTAATTTTAATAGTTTATATTTTGAGTAAAATGTGTTTGTCCTGGATATAGGATAGGTCATAATACATCTAGTCGTTGCATCTAAATGTTTTTTTTTATGCTGTATAATACACTACTGTTCAAAGGTTTGGGATCAGTGAGCTTTAGATTTTTATTTTTATTTTAGTCGAATAATTTTATTAATTAAAGATGCATTAAATCGATCAAAATTGGCAGTGAAGAAATGTTATAAAATATGTCCCTTTCAAATAAATGCTGTTCTTTTGAACTTTGCATTCATCGATCATAATTTTATCACTATTCGAAACGAAAATATGCAGCTCTGATCATAAATGTTTGAGTACCAAACAAGTATTAGAATGATTTCTGAAGGATCAAGTGACACCGAAAACTAGAGTAATGTCTGCATTAAAATTCTGCTTAAAAAAAAAAAAAAATTCGAAATTTCACAATATTACTGTTTTCACAGTAGTTTTGCTTGAATAAATGCAGCCTTGGTGAGCATAAGAAACCCCACATTTTTTAAATGTAGTGTATATTGATAGAAATTTGATATTTACACTAGTTGGCTTCTTATTTTAGCTTGTTTGCAAATATCTGATCAGGCATAAATTATTGTAGTGTGCTATAAACGTGCATGTGTTTTTGCTACGTCTGTGCAGTATTAGCGATTAGTAATGTTAAAAAAAAAATAGCTTTGATCCTGTTGTCGTCATGTTCACAGTTTTTTGTTTTTTTCTTAATAACAGAAATGAGGAGAATGACATTGACCAGATGCCTGTGATTGTAGTGTGCTATAAACGTGCATGTGTTTTTGCTACGTCTGTGCAGTATTAGCGATTTAGTAATGTTAAAAAAAAAATAGCTTTGATCCTGTTGTCGTCATGCTCACAGTTTTTTGTTTTTTTCTTAATAACAGAAATGAGGAGAATGACATTGACCAGATGCCTGTTGCAAAGAAGGCCAGGACAAGCAAGCAGCCTACTCTGACGTGGAAAGCAGAGACTGAAGTTGACTTGGTCCCACAGACTCTGAGATTCGTGCCCGCACGAGAACCCGGACCGCAGTTGTGGCCAACTGACTCGTACACTCCCCTCAGTCTCTTCAAGCTCTTTTTCACTGAAAATGCTGTCTCAACTCTATGCTACAACACAAATGCCCAGGCCGCCAGGTCACTTGCAAGGGGTCGCAAATACAAGTGGACAGATGTCAGCGTCAGTGAAATGTACCGCTACTTTGGACTCATATTCTACATGGGCATGGTGAAGTTGATCTCCATCAAAGACTACTGGCGGCAAGGCAGTCTTTTCTCTGTGCCTTTTCCCGCCACAATCATGTCAAGGGACAGATACCGCACCATTTCGTGGAATATGCACATGAGTCACCCAGCTGAGGACAAGGAGAATGACAAAAACAAGGGCACAAATGAATATGACCGGCTTTTCAGGGTCAAACCCCTCATGGACACGATCCGTCTTGCTTGCAAAACCATTTATCATCCTAGACGAAATTTAGCTGTGGATGAAAGAATGGTGGCATGCAAAGCCAACTCAGGCATGACACAGTACATGAAAGCCAAGCCAACCAAGTGGGGCTTCAAGCTGTTTGTCCTCGCGGACTCTTCGAACGGATACACTGTTGACTTTTCTGTGTACACGGGAAAGAACAACACTGCCACAGGCAATGGACTGCCGTATGATACTGTGATGTCTCTCTTGGACAGAAAAGTTTTGGGATCTGGGTACCACGTGTACATGGACAATTTCTACACAAGTCCAAAGCTCCTAACAGACATGTTAGAGATGAAGTATGGTGCTTGTGGGACTTACAGAGACTACAGGAAGAACAGCCCACAAAATGCACCTAATTCACTGACTAAAAATTCCCCCAGGGGATCCATTAGATGGATTCGAAATGGTCCGCTTGTGTTCGTGAAGTGGATGGACACACGAGAGGTGTCTGTGTGTTCCACTATCCATCCTGCCTACACAGGAGACACCGTGCAGAGGAGAGTGAAAGCGCAAGATACATGGAGCTTAAAGACATTCCCCTGTCCTGCACCTGTTACTGCGTACAACCAATACATGGGGGGCGTTGACCTGTCCGATCAGCTGTTGCAATACTACACCGCACAGCACAAAACCTTGAAGTGGTACAGAAAGATCTTCTTACACTTCTTGGACATTGCTGCCACCAACTCTTACACAATTCACAAGGAGTTATACGGCAACATGACCCACAAGGAGTTTATGGAGCAGCTAATTGCAGAGCTTTGTGGCGTGTCACCGAAAATCCCACAGAAACGGGCCAGCAGTGACCATGTGCCCGTTCCAGGAGCTCCGCTGAGCACCGATACCAGGAAAGTTGCCTCTAGTGGTCGGCGAATCTGTGTGCACTGCAAAGCAGCGCATGGAAAGAAGAAGCAAACTCCTTGGAAATGCCAGGCGTGCGACGTGCACTTGTGTCTTCAGCTGACGAGAAATTGTTTCCAGGAATGGCACAAATCTCTGTGACTGTGTGCTTTTGGTTTTGACCTTGGTTTTGTGCTGTGGTTTTGACCCTTATGTCTTTCTTTTATTTGATCTGTCTGTATTATATTGTACGCTGTTGTAAATAAACTGCAAACAAAAACATTCTTTCTTATATAATCTCTTTTGGTTCCCTCACAGTCGCATCCCACATTGATAGGTCTTTACCCACCTGATGTGAAATATGTCAAAACAGTGGGGGGAAAAAAAGTGTCGCACATAAGTTACATCAATGTTTTGTTTTATGTGAATGAAAGGACAAAATGATTTTCACAACGTTGTAACAAAGGCTCTGGTCTATGAAATCCAGTAATCAAAACTACTGTTTTATTACCCCTTGTCTTATTTTATATATATATATAATCATTAAATTAGCTGATTTGGTGCTCAAGAAACCAATCTTATCAACGCTGCTTAAGTTCTTACAAATCTCTTTTTTGCAGTCTTTCAATTTTATGGAGTGTAGATTTAGAAAAAATATTCAGTTTCATAACTGACTGGATGTTCTTGTGATTCATTTACATTTTTACTTTATAGTTCTGTAGAAAACACTGTTATTCTGAACATATCTTTGTTTTAGTTGCTTTATTTGTCTGTGACAGTTCTGCCTGCCTATAAGGTCGATATAGAAATAAAATCTTCAAAAGATCTAAAATGTTGCATGTTGCAATTGTATTTCTCATAGACTTACACTCACGAAGTGAACTTAATGGGCTCCATCCATAAGCTGTGCAGCAACATCTGCTTCAACCAGTTCCGTTCCTCCAATAATCTGAACATAAACAGCTGTGTGAACTGTGGAGGATATTGCTATGGCACAGACAGTCAGTGTCCATGTCTGCGGATAGAGGGCAGTGTTATGAAGTTCTGCAAACAAAACTGCCTCGTAGCCTTCAAAAAGGTAATGGCAAATGAATAACTAAATAATAGTCCAATAATTTGTTGAAAGTCTGTCAAATAAATTAATCTTTCTTTGTAGAAAAGTTTGAAACCTGTCGGCTGCAAAATTTGTCGTACCATGCGCCCGGTTGCAGAAATGGTGGACAGTCCAAACACGGAGGGTGTCCGGGAACTTTTCTGTTCAACTTGCTGTGTCACAGCGAATAAAGTTCAGACTGTCAGTTCTTCAGGTAACATAACCAGCTGTTTACTAAGATTCTGCTTCCTTAATGATATTCTCTTTTTGAAGTATACTCAAATGTCCTTTTTGTTTGCATGCAATCAAGGTGCTCCAGTGGAATGCAACAGCTGCAAGCTTAAACTAACGCCTCAGTACCATCTAGCCATGTCTGACGGAACCATCCAAAACTTCTGCTCCTTTTCATGCGTAGTATCATATCAGGTAGAGTTTATTGACACTAGTTTACTGATCTCTATTTCGAAGGGGACATCGGATGCAAAATTCACTTTTACATGGTGTTTGCCTATAAATGTATTAGCAGTGTGTGACGCAACCACCCTATAATGATAAAAATCCATTCACTCCTTTTTTTTTTTTTATCCTCAAAAACCTTAAATAGTCTTAATGATCAAGCTGTTTTGAATTTCTGAATGCCCCGCCCACGACCGCTGACAGACTGTCCCGCATTAGCATATTCCCGCCCCCAGCCAGTTGTACGCTGCCCGCCATTTTCTCTGGACTCGAGCAGCTGTAGTGACAACAATCCCTGCGTTCCATTCGGAAGGGCTCATCCCTATGCCCTAATCCCTTCAAAGGTTTTACCCTCCGGAGTGAGAGCTTCGAAGGGTTGAAGGGTGTAGGGGACCAACTGTTTCTTGAAGTGCCCTTCTGCGTCATCACGTGCCCACATGGAGGCACCGTCATCATGCGAAGAATCTGCGCAAAGGATCATGGGAACCCGAAGTGTCCATCAGTTGTATACTTCGAAATCCTTCATTCCGAAGGGCCCTTTGAAGTGGCCAGTTTTGAGCACTTCGGTTTGGAACGACCCTTCAATATATGGCGGCCATGATTGTTTTCACTCCGAAAGTGCCCTTCGGCGGGTGATATATCCCATTTGGAACGCACCGAATGTCTCGTAAGCAATCCGAGATGGTCCTCACTACAGAACACAAGATCCAGGGGGCGTGGTTGGATCCAGATCCAACTCCTCCCACCTTACATATACCTAAACCTACCCGTCTCCACCCCCTGATCCCTAAACCCACCCATCTCCACCCCTAAACCTACCAATCTCCACCCCCTAGATGTGGATCCAACCACGCCCCCTGGATCTTGTGTTCTGCAGTGAGGGGCTACTGAGCAATCCAGGTGTTTTGTATAGTGGTCAACCGATATTGGTTTTTTGACAGCCGATGCCGATATCTTGGAAAGCAGGGTGG